GAGGCAGTAGATGATGTTCCTTTTTTTTATGTTTTTTCGCCAGACTTTTGGCTTCGATGGCTAGTGAGCCGAGGCAGTAGATGGAGGTCTTATGCCTTCGTTTGGGGTTGAACTTAGATAGTAGTGGGATTTTTTCTTTTTTATTTTTTGTCAGCCTTTCTGCTTCTATTGTGGCCAGAACCGATGCCACAAAGAGCATACTGCCTTGGTTATGGTCACAATCGACACCTATTTTATGTGTTTTTTTAAATAGGTTTATTTCTGCAACCATCCCAACTACATAAACAAACCTGCATATTTCAAAATTGTCCAAAACAGTCTAAAAGCATATTTTTAGTGAAAATTATAATAAATCACAAATCAATTCAATATACAAAGAATTGTAATCATAAATCAACTTAGAAGCATAAATCAATCCAATGTACAAAGTTAATATGATCATAGATATGCTAATGTAGACCTTACTATATCCTAATATCTACATACTATTATAGAGTTGAATTACATATTTGGCAAGTGTTTTCCTTATGTATTTAAGGGACTTCTCTGGAATTGAAGTAGTAGAATTAAATATCTGCATAAGACACAATTATTTCAATTATATACAAAAATTATTGTAGAATACCAATTGAAAGTAGGAATAAATAATCTGTTATGAGTAACGAATCAAAAGTAAGTTTGGTGGACTAGCTAAAGTTTATTTTGTTAGATAAAAGTCATTTTGAGGAATTTGAAACGTGTTTCACTTTGACAATAATACAATTCCAAAGTTGCATATTGCTACTTCTGAGCAGCCAGAAAAATCAATTAGAAATTTTCCATTTATCCATTAAAGGTTGAATATGATAAAATGACAAAAGCAATTCATCTGAAGAACAATATGCCAACTTATTTTGTTAAAAATCGAATTCAAGATTTCTAGGTAAGCATTTTACATATATGTTATTGGAGAGCAAATAACTAATACAAAGCTACCATTAAATAACTAAAGAGAGTTGAAAAATAAGCATCCATATTCTTCATTGATGATCATGAATAAAGAGAAATCTGGGACCATGGCGATGACGAACGACCGGTGGCAGCAACGAGTAGCACAGTTCGCGCGAGACAAATTGAAGCAGAAATGTTGACCTTTGCAACAACAATGGAGGCATTGAGACAATGGTTCTTCGCGAGGGACAATGTTGCGTGAGGAAGAAGAACAAAAGACAACACGAGAAAGAAGAATGAACATTAGGTTAACAATTTTTACACTGTCGAAAAAGGTACTACCTTGGTTCTTTACTTAACCGAGGCAATAGACAACTTATTGCCTCGGTTATTGATGAAATCGATGCCTAAAGTCATCCGAAAAAAATAAAATATGGAATCACAATTTTTAAATTATTTTCAACCTATACGCCTCGGTTTTGCGGTTAAACCGAAGCATAAAACAATTTTAACATCGGCTCCCCCAGAACCGAATCCATAGGGCTTGACAAAAGGAATTGAAACTTTCAAAAATCAGAACTATCAGGTGTTGGACAGGAGATACTGTCTTGGTTTTGCTTGGAACCGATGCCGTATAAGACATACTACCTCAATTATGTTTGGAACCAATGCCGTATGTCCTGATTGCATTATCATGTTAGTGAATTTCAGAGGTTGCTTTCTGCCTCGGTTCTCTAACCAACCGAGACAATAACTCCTTTTCAAAAGGGTGTCAGGCGAAAAGTCTACTTTGAAGAGAGACAAATGAAATTTTACAGAAGTTTAGACATCGATTCTCACTTTAACCGAGTGATATAAGTTTTATGTTTCGATTCCCTTTGAATCAAGACATATAAATTTACCAAAACTATGAAAATGTTAGTAGGTTTTGATAAGTTGATTTTTTCTAAACAGAAACCTTGTGCGAGTTTAATCCAAATTATGCATTATTAGAACTCTCTTTGTGATATTTAAAACCTATGATAACTTATACTTCATACAGTAGAAGTAGAGGCAGGTAGAAGTATATATATATATATATATATATATATATATATATATTATTATTATCAGGATGAAACAAAATTTTATATAAATTAATATATGAGTTTAAAACTCGCATCCTCGTCTTATTCATCTACATGGTAAATTAAATTAATAATAATTATTTAATAAAATAAAAAAATTAATTTATTATGTAATTATATATAAATTAATTTTATTTTATTTAATAAAAGAATTATTATTAATTTAATTTATGTATTATTATTTAATTAATTATTTAGTTTATTAATTTATTGTATTTTAAATTAATATATAAATATTATTTAAATTTTTTTATATTTTTAATCAATTTATAAAATATTTTTTTTTGTTTTTTATAATATATTACGTAAACAAAAAATATTATTAAAATAAAATCTAAAACAAAAATAATAAACTAAAATATAGAAAAAAGTTAAAATATGTAAACAGATGTCAACATTCATTCACGAATTTTAACATCCGTTAAAGGTGAAACGGACGTTGACATCCTTTTATAGCAAGGGTAAATTGGGTATGGGGTGGTGCATGTCTTTATTTTATTCTTTATCTAATGCAGCCCACTCCACTAAACCACCATGCAAGACGCGTACAAACTTGCCAAAAAGTAAGGAGTGTTTCATCCTGCACCTTCAAGCATTTCATCATGCACCTCCAATTTCCTAAAATGTCCTTAATTAATAAATGGTTTAAAAGTTTAATATTTTGATTATTGAAAACCACCATTGACTCCACCTCTATTTTCCACCAATTAAGAAACATGCATTCCTACCCCTCTGTACCCCTTCACCCTTGCACTCCTTGGAGCCTTCAATCCTGCACACCCTCACCCCTACACCTCTTGCATCCCATTTTTTTTATAAAGAAACCATACACTCTTCCACAACTCTTCACAGGACTTTGATAATATTTTTTGTCTTGAGAGTGATTGAGTATTATCTAAAGAGAAGTATTGTTCGAGTGTGCACTTTGGAGTGGTGTATTGGCAGCTTGACTCTTTGTGTTGGTGCAGTTTCGGATTACCTCATTCTTCTTTGTGTTTTTGCTATAGAAAGAGGTTAGTATTTGTTTTTAATTTGTGTGCATAGATAGATTTCATGGTTGGATTGTTATTGATGGAGATGTAATTTATTTTCGTTAATATGTTTGCATGCTACCGAAACATGAAGTTATAAACGTGTAAAAACGAAAAAACGATATGAACTCATCGACTGCGGATAGTCGATGATGTCGATCGGATGTGGAGATCCGATTGATGCGCATCGGATGTGAACATCTGATTATATGAAATTTCGGATAAACATATCCGATACTCAACTTAGATTATATTAAATATTATGTATGTTGTTTACCTTATTTAGTTTATTTATTTTTAATATCTAAATTAATTTTTTATTTTACATATGAATTTGAAACAAAATGAGAATAACCGAATGCATAGGAATCGGATGTGGAGATCTGATAGTGAGAATTTGGATATCAATATTCGATACATGTTTAATGTTATACATAAAACTTTAATTATGTTATTGTTTTAATTATTTTATTAATTTTAAAATTATTTATGATTTCGTATTAGTCTATAATGAAATTAGATATTTTTTAATTGATATAATTTTTTCTTCTGAATTTATTAAAATCAATTTAAAAAACTCAGTTACCTATCACATATGGAAATTCGATATATATATATATATATATATATATATATATATATATATATATATATATATATATATATATATATATATATATATATATATATATATATATATATATATATATATATATATATATATATATATATATATATATATATATATATCGCCTATCTAATTTAGTAACTATTTTATTTAGTAACAGTGTCTGTTATTCAGCTGACCATACAATTTTTTATGGGAAAAACTGAGTTACCTATTTGAATACTCAATTATTACAAGCAAGGATTAGATTTATTTAAAAAATTGAAGATGGAACAATATATAATATATTAGATTTTCATAAGATATTTGACGGTCATTCATTTATTTATATAATTTTTAGTTATTTTATATATTATTTTATTATTTTATAATTATATTTAAGTATATGTATAATTTTTATGAATTTATAATATAATTAGATAATATGTAATTTTAAAAAAATAATTGTTACGAATTTTTCATAATTTTGCATGCTGTTTTATGAATATTATTTAAGTAGGTTTTTTTTTATATAAAAATTGAATAAAACTAGTTAACTTTATTTTTATAATTATTATTTGATGTTAATATAAAAATGCATTTTAAATATTTAATTTTTATAAGTTTTAGATATAAAAATTGTTATGAAAATTTTTAATAATTTTTTATATAGTTTTAAGTTTATTTAACTTGGTGTTTTTTTAAGTTAGATTATATTGTTCATAAATTTATAATTGTATAATTATTTTATTAGTTTTTGATTTTATAATATAATTATAAATTTTAAATTTATTGTATTATTTTTTTATTTTTTATAGGTGATTATAATTTAAATGGACGGATATCATTATAGGATGGATTCTGAAATAAATTGTACCATGCTATCAGAATTTTTCATCATTTATAAATGAGGTTGCTGAGGAAGATTTGACGAATAATTTCACAACAAATGAAATTTTTTCTTCGTGTGAAAACTTAATTGAATAGGTAAAAGGGATTGCATATGATCTAACTTAATTAAATGGGTAAAAGGGATTACATATGATCTAGAATTTGTTGTGGTGACTATAAGATCCGATAAAGCTACCGGTCAACCTAGGAGGAAGACCTTTGTGTTGCTAGGATGTGAAAGAGGCGGAAAATATAGAAAATACAAATCCGACCAACCTAGTGCATATGGCACTCGAAAATGTGAGTGTCCTTTCCAGGGGTAAACCATCTGGTAATGGCGATGGGTGGGTATTACAAGTGATATGTGGAACCCTGCCTCCAAGAGGATGGAACTCTGCCTCGGTGACTCCCACTTTACAGCACGCGGTCTGTCTTCCATGTACGAAGACACCATACGCCTTCTTCCCAATGTAGGGAAGTAATCATATATCCAACTCTACAAAACAAAAATTATACATTATTTCATGATCAACATCGAAAAAATCCAATCAAATCAAATTGTAAACTAAATTTCTACCTGTAAAAGAGTCAAATAACCTGGTCGAAGCCAAGCTGGCATCTCCTAGCTGGTCATACATGTATGCTAGTGCAGCAACGCCCCAGGCATATCGGTCACATGTGTGTACGTCTCTAAAGAGCAAAAGATAAAACACGCGAATGGATGTGACAGTCTTATAAGCAAATATACTGCATCCAACTAGATGCAACAAGTATGCCCGAGTAGCGTACTCCCACTGCTGCTGCTCACAGTGCTCAGCGTAGATGTCTCGAAGCCAGCTCAATCTGGCTTTCACACCTTGAGTTGCATGTAACTTAGCACCAACTCTCCCGCCATCCATGCCTAAAATCTCCTCAATGGCGCATCTACTGTCTTCAAAATCTACTTCCTATAGATGTCATAACTGCCCTAAAACTGGGAGGTACAGCAACGATGACACATCATCTAAAGTCAAAGTCATCTCACCCATGGGGAGATGAAAACTACTAGTCTCGAAATGAAATCTCTCTACAAATGCCAACAGTAGACCCCTATCGACATAGTCATATGGCATGCCCACCAAAGACATCAGACCAGAACCATTAACGATGTCTCTAATGCCCTCGTGGCAGGATCCTAATCTGTTTAACTTCTTCCCATGGGAGATCAACTTGATCTTCTCCCGTTCCTAAACAATAATATTTAGTATAAAATTATTTTAACTAAACAATATTCATTAAAATTAAAGTTTTGCACTTACCCGACCATGCCATATCGCATAAGCAACATGGTGAATGTAATGTGTCAATATTGAAGCGTTTAATGGACCTCCAGGAAATCCACCTTCAGCAACATCCTCATGATCCTCCTCTTGCTCAATATCATGCTCCTCATATGCATGATCCTCAACTACATCCTCGTGAAACCTCACATCTCCATGGTCCTCAACATGAATATCAGAGTCAACTGCTCCACGTCTTCTACGAGCAGAAGTTGTAGGTCTCCGCCTCTCACCCTGTGACGAACTCTCTCCGCGATGTGAAGAGGAACCTCCTCGAGTATCAGCCATGTCTATTCTAAATTTCTTTATTAACAATAATATTATAATAATTAAAAAAAAATTCACTAGTAAAAAATAATAAATTATTCAAAACAATTTATTTCAAATAAAATCAATTTAACTAATTCATTATAAAATTAAATAATATATTATTACAAACAAAATAACTTAAATCTCTAACAAAATTATAAATATTTCAAATAATTACAAATAATTAAAACATTTTTAACTAACTGTAAAAATCTAATATTTCACAAAAAATAAATAACAACAAATCTTCTAACTATAAAAAAATTAATTCAAATCTTGATATAAATAAAAAATTAATTCAATTAAAACAATTTTCTTAAAATAAAAATCAAATAACTATAAATTAAAAAATTAAAAAAAAATAAAAAAAAATTGAAAATTATTATAACAAAATATTTAAAATAATTATAACACAAAATATAAAATAATTAGAACAAAAAATTTAAAAAATTAAAACGGAAAATTAAAATAATTAAAATAATTTTATTAAAAGGAATAAAATTATTTCTTTATATTAATAAATAATTATTTCAAATATAACAATTTAATTAAAAGAAAATTCATATAACTATAAATTTAAAAATTAAAACAAAAAATTTAAAATAATTATAACATAACATTTAAAAAAATTAAAACACAAAAATTAATAATTATTATAACAGAACATCTAAAATAATAACATTTCAAATAACTCAACCAAACGAAAGAAAATAAAAACTAAATATTAAATTAAAATATAATATAAACAAAATAAAAAAAATCAACATAAAATCGGGAATGGAGAATCGACATAGGCTGAGTCGGATCTCCATAACCGATTCAGCATTCATCGGATCTGAACATCCGATGAAGGCTTTATCGGTTATGGAGATCCGATTCAGCCCTTGTCGACCCTCCATACCTGATTCAACTATATCTGCACAAGAAATCTACTAGCATAAAAAAACAACACAAACCAACCTCCGTTGGGTGCTCAAAGGGATTGTGAGTGGGTATTTCTCTACACTGGCCGGCGCTGGATGAGCTCCTCTATCTCTCTGGCCTTCGCGTGACGACCAACAGGACGACCAACGGACGACCTCTATGCGAGAATGGACGAGCTCGACAATGGACAACCTGTGTGTGTGCGACAATGGAAGAGGAAACTGTTGTGTGCTGGGTGCTACTGGAAAGCTTCCGATTTGAAGGAAAAACAGTGTGTTGGGTGCTACTGGAAAGAGGAAACGTAGAGGAGAGGGTACTGGTGCTGTATGGCAGTATGGAGAAATGAAATGCGAATGTTGAGAATGAGATGCGAGAGAAAAAGCATGGGAATAATATCTCTGCTGAGCCAGAATCTTTGACCACTTTTAATTTTTTTCTTTTAAAATATTAAACTCTCTTAACTATGGATAATGTAGGTATTTTAAAAAATTTGGAGGTGCAGGAAACACTAAAAAAAGTGAGTCTATTTTGTATGTGTGGACTTTGTAGGAAAAGCTTAACAATTTATGGGCTTTGAAGTTGCAGCCTTGAGGCGGGGCCTTACACCAATTCTTTTTACACACCAATAATCTTCTTCTGCATTTTTTTTAGTTTGAAGCTTTTTTTTTTTTAATTTTTTTATTGTACTATCAGAACTTATAAACGTGTACCCAATTGTAATTAAAGCTAATATTATATTTTTAAATTAAGAATTCGAAATAGCTATAGATTCAGAAATATGGGTTACATATGAATTCGAAATTAACTTTGGACTTTTGTAATTCAAAAGGAATTTTTGAATTGGACAATCTGAAAGAAACTTTCAAATTACATAATTCAAAATAAAAATAATTTTCAAAAGTAGGTGAAAACAACAACATTAGGGGTGGTGGTAGTAGGGGTGGCCAGAGACAGTTTATCTTTTACACACTCTATGGAGGTGTGAGAAGAGATATTGAAAGTTCAAAACGAAATGGCCAATATATGACCTAATAACTCTACGTTTTCCTACATGTATATCCACATTCTTCGTGAACATTTATAAATTTTCAAAATAATCATTTTATTCTCTAGACAAAGTGATTTTCAGAATATATATTTTGTAGAGTTTCGGAAAAGGCTTTTGGGAATAAATTTTTCTTGAGAAAAATTGCTAGAAAAGAAAGTTTCTGGATTAGATTTTTGAAACACATGATACATTCTGAAAAAGTTTTTTCAGAATAAGATTTCTGAAAATTTTCCCGAAGACATGCAGTGACTTCTGGGAAGAATTTTTTGGATGAAATATGTTTCTGAAAGAGGTTTTCATAACACATAAAATACGTTCTGAAAAATGGAAACGACAGTGGCGTGATGAAGGAATTATGGGGTGCACGAAGGAATAGCCATAAATCTAATCAAATTTTTAATCTAATTTAATCTTATGAAAATTATAAGTTATATAATATCCCATATTAGTAAACTTATTAATACTAATTTAAAGTATTTCAAATTTATATTAAACACACCACTACATAGTACATGACATATGTATTATAATATTATTCATAAGTTACAATATTAATTTTAACAAACATGAATGTATTGTAAATTTAGAGAAAGTATGTAAAACATAAAGATGCTGTACATATGTAGCTCACTTATCTTATCTTCTCTTAATGTATAACATACATTGTATGTGGATACATCACAACACACGAAAGAAAAGATAAGTTAACGATAACTTCAACGTGCATATTTTATAATTTTTATAATAATAAATCCTTATTAACTCACAACTAAACAAGTAATTATACATAATATAATTATTTCTATACTTAATATTAATTTTATGCATTGACTTGCACACATAAAATCTTACACCTACCGCAAAACCTCTTAGTTGATTGCAAGAGAAGCTCTGATTATATATATATATATATATATATATATATATATATATATTATTAAAAATGTGAAACCCAATGAGATCACCTTATATGTGATTATAAGGAATAAGTGGAAGTGGCTTCTTCCTACAGTTTATGCTTTTTTTCCTACACTCCAAAATTTTTTGAAATGACTAAATTAGCCTTTGACCATTATTAGAGTAGAAACCCTATTTCACCTTCTTTTACTTTGTTATGCCACAAAATATCCTATATCTCAAGGCAGTTTTCTTCAGTTCTCCTAGCTCCTTCCATTTTTCTTCGTTCAAAATCATTTCTTCTCTCCACATTCTCTCTTCATTTCATGCGAATCATTTTATCATAGTAACATGAGGCAACACCTTCATTTGGTACAATGAAAGCCTCATATCTTCTCTTTTAAGTTAGGTAACCACATTTTTCTTCGTATTTAGAAATTTGGCGATCAGTGTTCATTGAATATCAAAACTCGACTCTTGTTGTGAAATGGTTGGTTTCACCATATTTGGAAATCCAGTGGTGATTGATTGCATGGATCAAATTTTGAAAACTGGTACACCCAATCACTACCGCATTTCCAAATCCAGTGCACCAACATTTTACACATAAACCGGATTTCAAATGAATTTTTAAATTCGATGAACACTCTCACTTTTGCTAACACCAATGCATTTCAAAATCTAGTGCACACATTTGACACAACCCGAATTTCAAAATCTGGTGGACACTAAAACAACTAGGTTTTGAAATCTAATGAACTGAACCAGTTTTCCCCAAATTGACTTTCCATATTTGGTGGACGCATTTCACACAAACCAAATTTTGAAATCCAGTGAATGTTCACTCAATTGGTTTTCGAAATTCGGTGAGCTGATCTAATTTTCCCTACCACCACCGACTTTCCAAATATGGTGAACACTAACCACTGGATTTCAAAATTCATTTTTCGCACTTAACCAAGTTCTAAATTCGTTTTAGTCCTAAAAATTTCATACTACAACATAGAAAGATATGGTCTACACCTTAAAAAATATCGAAACCCAAACAAACTCAAATTACCTTAAAAGAGAAGGAGATTAAGGCTTTTGTGACAATGCAGGTGCTTGCTATAGTGGAATGAAGAAAAGATGGAGATAAGAAATGATGATGGAACAAAGGTGGAAGGAAGCTATTAGAAGCTTTTGTATGGAGAAATGAAGGAGTTGTTAGAAGGTGTAGTGGTACGAGGTATAAGTTTGGGGTGCTTTTAGAAGCTCTTTAAGTCCACCAATGTTGAAGCACTTATTTGTGCTCAAAATTGGCTGAGGACCACTATAACTCAATTTGATAATATCAATGTCAATGAAGAGTTTAAGTTTTTTGGTAAGGTTTTCACACGTACGAGTCTTCTATATTTTACCTTTAAAATTTGTTTGTAATTATGTTTCTGTGTATATTAATAATATTTTGTTTCAATTAACTTCATAATTTATTAGTAACACAATGAGAGGAGTTGAAGTATTAGGCGGAGTTACGTATGGAAGTGGAGTTGTTTCATGATCTCACAACAACCAATGTTATGACTCTTAACTTCTCTAAGATGTTTGTCTTCCTTTATTTATTATTATTAAATTTACTTATTATTTTTTTAAGTTTCAATTGTTTTTTTTATGTAGTTATGGTCTATTTTTAAGGCATTTGTTCCAAACAAATGCATCTACTGGATTTGAATGTTAATTTTGGAAAGATATATCTCATTACATTTTTTTGGAAGCTATCACTACTTTTGTTTCCTTTATTAAGGGCATTGTCCTCACCTTTGGTAAATGAGGTTGTTTATTCTAAGTAGCATTGGTAGTGAAAACAACTTTAAAGGTGAGATATTATATATAAAACAAAAACATTTAATTTGGTGACATGTTTTACACATCTTCCTCTACCTGTGAGGAGCAATATCTTGCATCTTCTTTAGGAAGTTACTTTTTCTTGCATCAAGGTAGAGATTGACTCATTCTCAACCTAAAACCTTAAGACAACAAGTTATGGTTTTGACCTTTATATTGTGCTTCACATTGGTACATTCCCTTAACCAGGAAACTTTGCGATACAGGAACCATATTGTACTCGTTT